AGGAATCCTACCTACATTATAACTTAATGTAAGGAATCCTACCTACATAATAACTTAATGTAAGGAATCCTGCCTACATAATAACTTAATGTAAGGAATCCTACCTTCCAACCTACATAATAACTTAACCCCACAACTGAGACCTGCAGTCAGACACCGCGAGCTCAGCGGTGGGGCGCTCAGGAACAATCCCCCTAGGAGCGCGAAATCCCATAGGACTTCTGACGCGCACAGACACGCTTCAGAAGTCCCCCCTGAGGGGTTATAGTGAAAATAAAGTAAGGTATTGTGTAGAAACCAACCCTGTCGGATCGCGGTCTTCGAGAACCGGTCGGTAGCCACACGAGCTGGATGCTCTCGCCGTTGTACATCTGCCACCAAGGCTCGCGGTACTCCAGTATTATCTTGTTGAGTGTGCCGAACCCCATGCTGTGGATGGCCTGGGTTCATAGATAATATGAATTAGTCCTGATATAAGAACTGCCTTTAACAATAATCATTAAAAAAACTATTATTGCTTATAATAAAGGCTACAACAACCATACAAATCCTTACATTTATTGAGGACCTTGCCATTTGAGCGTCAAATAAGAGCTCTTTAGAATGTAAGGATGATGCCTTAACGATATTACGACTTTACTTTCTCATTCAATGCATGGATATTAGGAAGGGTGGTTGAGAGAGCCTTTTGGGTACTTGACACAGAGGTGGCCCTGGTACTTCAACTAGCCCCTCTTACCTGACGCAGAAGTGGCCCCTGGTACTTGAACCAGCCCCTCTTACCTGACGCAGGAGCTAAGAGATTACAACGAATTTTTCTTACCTGATGCAGGGGCTGGGGGAGGGGAGGCTGGAAGAGGTTGGGGCTGTTCTGCAGGACGCCGATGGAAGGCGTCACTAGGACGGTGTCCGCTCCCACGACGCTGCCGTCCCTGCACGAACATTACGTTATTATGTTTATATTGTTATGTATAATGAAAGGTTCAATAATACTAATAATGTATATATACATTATTAGGAACTATAATATCACTAGAAGAAGCACAAATGGGTCTTCCCCGGCTGTAGTTGTAGTATGTTAAATTGAAATATAGGCAATAAGACCACTAGGAGGTGCAAAGACGCGCGGACTCGGACTCGGACAGTCCTGCTGGAAGGCAGCAGGACTGGAAGCATATGGGGAGCTCGTAATGCGCATAAAGCAAACAGAACTCCTACTTGTAAATTCTAAACAATTCCATGACATGAAAAAAAGATCAAAGCCTTTAATAAATCCTATGGTGTGAACCTTCCATTTGATTAATGGATTTTTCGGTGGAATGCGACCAAATTTTTCACGAACAAAATGCGACTAACAAGGCCTTGCCTTCAGAGGTGAAGTAGATCCCATGTATAAATTTGTTCTAGAAATAAACCTAAGGTATTTTTAGATGCTCAAAGCTAATGTTTCTAATTCATAGATAAAAAGTAATAAAAGTAATTAACAACTAACGAGCAAGTGACAGTGACAGCAGGGGCGTCGTCAGCAGAGACCAATCGACCTCGCCTCGGCACCACCGACGATGCGTAGGTCAATCTGACGAGTAACAATATATTATCAGTGAAGCATATATAACACATGCGCGAGCAATATATAGTTATATACAAACATTGATTTACATATATAAAGCAATACTAGGAAGTAGTTTGCCATTTCGAACATCTGATTCTGAAATTATTTCGCCGAGGACGACAATCTAAAAATGTCCTAAAATAGAATAGAAAGTGCCGGCACTGAAGAAATAGGTCCAGGGCCTGTTGCCGATTCTTCATAGGACAAGTCGATTCAAAGGGCACACATGTTTAGCAATATAAGCAGTATTGATTGCAAAAAAGGATTGATCAAAGAAAACAGGACTAAGATCTTCGATTTATTCATTGCAAAAATAGCATGAATCTCCATAAGCCTATATTAAGCGTGGGTTATTTATGTCCTGCCCGATGTGTTGAGAGGCTCACACATACGTACACATGCCTGAGGACAAGCGCATTAACCGTTCATACTACATACATACATGCATATATACCTGAACCTTAGCATACACATCTGAACACACGCAAATACATTTGAACAGTCGCGAACGCGTCTGTACAAACACGCGTCACCCTCCTGAAACACACGCCACACACCCAAAACACACACGCCACACAGGTGAAGCACACACCCGACACACACGCCACCCACCTAAAACACACACGCCACACACCCGAAACACATACGCCACACACCCGAAACACACACACACCACACACCCGAAACACATACACCACACACCCGAAAAACACACGCCACACACCTAAAACACACGTCACACACCTGAAACACATACCACACACCCGAAACACACACACCACACACCCGAAAAACACACGCCACACACCCGAAAAACACACGTCACACAGCTGAAACACACACGCCTGATACACGCGTCACCCACCTGAGCACGCGCGTCTGGAGCCAGAACTCGGCAGTAGCGCGGGTGTAGACACACACCCAAAACACACACCTATAACACACACACGTCACACACCCAAAACACACGCGTCACCCACCTGAGCACGCGCGTCTGGAGCCAGACCTCGGCAGTAGCGCGGGTGTAGAGCGCCCCCAGGGCCGCGGTCATGCCATAGCGAGGGTTGATGTTGTACTCGCCAGGGCAGAACTCGTAGCGGCCCCAGTGCCGTGACGACACTTGGCTTAGGTTGTCGCAAGCGTTGTCAGCCAGGTACCATCTGTGAACCATAAACAGTACCATTAAAAATGGTCAATTACTTGACTATTGACTTGACTTGACAATTACTTGTAATTGATTAATCAAGATTGTCAAAAAAAAATAGTCAATTACTGACGGCTGTTCATTGGTCGTGTTCGAGCTAAAGCCACCAATTATAGACGAGGAATTGTGTACTCAGAACGCTAATTGGACTTAAGCGAGTATTGATTGTACGGCTTCAGTCTGGTGATGGCTAGGTATTATGCATGACCCAGGACCCACTTGACGACCCAGGACCCACTTGATGACCCAGACCCCACTTGATGACCCAGGACCCACTTGATGACCCAGGCCCCACTTGATGACCCAGGACCCACTTGATGCACCAGGACCCACTTGACGACCCAGAACCCACTTGACGACCCAGGACCCACTTGATGATCCAGACCCCACTTGATGACCCAGGACCCACTTGATGACCCAGGACCCACTTGATGACCTAGACCCCACTTGATGACCCAGGCCCCACTTGATGACCCAGACCCCACTTGATGACCCAGACCCCACTTAATGACCCAGGCCCCACTTGATGACCCAGACCCCACTTGATGACCCAGGACCCACTTGATGACCCAGGCCCCACTTGATGACCCAGGACCCACTTGATGACCCAGGCCCCACTTGATGACCCAGGACCCACTTGATGACCCAGACCCCACTTGATGACCCAGGATCCACTTGATGACCCAGGACCCACTTGACGACCCAGGACCCACTTGATGACCCATGACCCACTTGATGACCCAGGCCCCACTTGACCCAGGACCCACTTGATGACCCAGGACCCACTTGATGACCCAGGACCCACTTGACGATCCAGAACCCACTTGACGACCCAGGACCCACTTGATGACCCAGACCCCACTTGATGATCCAGGACCCACTTGATGACCCAGGCCCCACTTGATGACCCAGGACCCACTTGATGCACCAGTGGTACATGGCCTCGTACAGCCTCCTCTGCTGCGGATCCTTCACGTCGCCAAGGAACTCCTGCTGGAAGTGCTGCTCGAATCCAAACACCGTCGACACATCCTCGGGGTCCCCGGGACGTTTGTTCACACCCAAGGATTGTAGGACTTCTTCCCGCGAGTCGAAATAGTTCCAGACCTTGTTGACTATCTCAGGGTCGAGCTCTTCACCATCGCTCGTGAAAAAATGGCCTGAAATGAACGCAATATTACGTCATGTTCTGTGTCACATTTGAAAATTATCTATGGTAAATATTATAGAGTATAATTAATCAAGTTAGATGAATGCATTACCCGTCACCCTGAACACGAAATGCACTATTAACTGCGCTTCCCTTTACACAAACATGGAGTAAACAATCGTTCAGCCGAACAGAAGGGGAGTTCACCCTTGAGACGTTCAAGAGAAGAATGGATGCGTATTTAAACAAAATTTCGGATTGTCCGGTTATGTCCCACTACCCTCAGCAAGTAGCAAGCATTTTGCATCCGCCGACCCAACTGAGGACATCAGCTGGCCCAACTGAGGGCATCAGCTGGCCCAACTGAGGGCATCAGCTGGCCCAACTGAGGGCATCAGCTGGCCCAATTGAGGACATCAGCTGGCCCAACTGCGGGCATCAGCTGGCCCAACTGAGGGCATCAGCTGGCCCGTGGTCACGTTCAACGTTCTCTCCGTCCCCAGATATCGGGGGACCTGCTCATCGACGGTTTGGGGACGGTGAACGACGAAGGCGGCGCATCAGCATGGCCGCGGACCAGGAAGTCATAAACTCAACATAAGGACATTATTTACTGCACTACCCATTGCATGGACGTACCCAACCGTCTATTACCCATCACTTGGACGTACCCACCCATGGGTGCGTCCACCCATGAGGTGGACGTCCCCAACTGCCTATTGCCAGTGGACGTCCCCAACCGCCCATTACCAGTGGACGTCCCCAACCGCCCATTACCAGTGGACGTACCAAGCCGTCCATTACCAGTGGACGTACCCAACCGTCCACTATCCATGAGGTGGACGTACCCAACCGTCCACTACCCGTGGACGTACCGAGCCCGTCCTTGCTGTAGACGCGGGACACGTGCTGCTGGGGGTGTGCCACGAGGAGGTCGTGTAGCAGGTTGCCGCGCTGTCCGTGTATCCACTGCGCCCCGAGCTCCACGGGAGCGTCGGGCCGTAGGTCCGGGTATATGGAGTGCACGCGCCCTCCCACGCGCCCGCTGCCTACGCGCATGGAAATAAATAGATTTTTTTTATGGGGGAAAAAAGTGAAGAACATTTTGCAAATGTCTCAGTAGATACAGAAATAAATTTTTTTTTCTAGGGTACAAAGAGTAAAAAAATTAGCAAATATATCATTAATTTCTACGAGTGGAACACTTTCTTTCATTACTTTCATTAGTAACGCTGAATTAAATTCGTTGAACGTTGAATTTGATTCATTTGTTCCATTCGCTCTGGTGCATAAATTTGCATGACTTATTCCTATTAATATTTTGGAGCGTGAAGGTCAAAGATCATCACTACTACTTAAAAAATTGATTATTTTGGTGATAAATTCAGTTGCATAGTCACATACACACACGACTAGAGCTGCAGAAATATTTTCGAGATGAAAATCCGAGGCGTGAAGTGCGGACAAATGAATTTTCGGGCGTTGTCAAAAAATTTGTACACTAATTTAGACCAAAATTTAAAAAATAATAATACAAATAACGATTCCAGAACTAACAAAATAAATTAAAATAAATGAAAACAAAAATAACTATCGAGGAACCATCAAACTCTCACCTTCTATGATAAGGATATCGTTGACACCGGCGGCGTTAAGAGCGATGGTCGCGCCAAGGGCGGCCGCTCCAGCGCCGACCACCGCCACACTGCGGGTACTGGTGGGCCGGGGGGGCAGGGGTCGCAGTACACTGTATAGTGACAGTACATCATCACATTACTGCACACCACAACCACCACCATCATCACATTACTGCACACCACCTCCACCACCATCATCACATTACTGCACACCATAACCACCACCATCATCACATTACTGCACACCACCACCACCACCACCATCATCATATTACTGCACACCACAACCACCACCACCATCATCATCACATTACTGCACACCACAACCACCACCATCATCACATTACTGCACACCACCATCACCACCACCATCATCATCACATTACTGCACACCACCATCACCACCACCATCATCATCACATTACTGCACACCACAATCACCACTACAACCATCATAACACATTACTTGTGCTTAAGGGTTGATGGTGGATTAACATCAGACATATTCGAACCATTACAAAAGCATATATAACCATTAGCATATATTGTATATTAGTGTATACAAAAGCATATATAGCATTATAAGTCTTTATTATAGGTGTGGTCCATTTGACACGTCCTCTCATTGCCGTCGCTAATAAGTTGCCACTTCCAACATTATAAAAAATTCCTTTTTCATATGATAAAAAAAGTAGTCTATATTATGTTTACTTATAGTTTTTGGAAATTTTTAAATCGATAAATTATATTATGAAGCTGAAAATGATGCTAAGCTAATCAATCAGGAAGTATTTTCAACATACTCGAACTGAAAGCTGAAGTGATTTTAACACAGCAGGTAAGGCCACTTTTACAAATATCTATCCAAGAAGGTTTTTATTATCTGTTCAAGTAACAGGACCAAGCAGTCAATATATCGATAAATCTATAATACAAGTGTTTGCAAAAAATATAAAATATTTGCCATAAAAGAATAGATGTATGCAATACTAAATTTTTGTTTATTAAAATACAGACAGAATAAGATGGTAATAAACAAAAGCCTATGATAAAGATGTATTTCCTTCACCATGAAGTTGGAGTGTTGTTTCCATCCAGCACAGTCACGCTTGCCTGTAGAAATATAATTTCTCATTACTTCCTACTCACAATTTCTCATTACTTCCTACTCACAATTTCTCGTTACTTCCTACTTACAATTTCTAACTACTTCATACTTACAATTTCTCATTACTTCTCACTTACAATTTCGCATTACTTCTTACTCACAATTTCTTATTACTTCCAACTCACAATTTCTTTTTACCTCTTACTAATAATTTCTCGTTACTTCCTTCTCACATTTTCTCATTACTTCCAACTCACAATTTCTCATTACTTCCTACTCACAATTTCTCATTGCTTCTTACTCACAATTTCTTATTACTTCCTACTCACAATTTCTCATTACTTCCTACTCATAATTTTTCATTGCTCCCTACTCACAATTTCCTACTCACATCCCACTCCAACTCACAATATTTGCACGTGTACTCATAATATTTGCACGTGTACTCATAATATTTGCACGTGTACTCATAATATTTGCACGTGTACTCATAATATTTACACGTGCACTCATAATATTTACATGTGTACTCATAATATTTACACGTGTACTCATAATATTTACACGTGTACTCATAATATTTTCACGTGTACTCATAATATTTGCACGTGTACTCATAATATTCACACGTGTACTCATAATATTCACACGTGTACTCACATCCAGCACGGCAGCAGCTGGCACGCACATCAGGGCCAGCTGGTCCAGCAGCAGCTGGCGCGCGTAGAGCTTCTGCGTGACGCCATCTGCGAAATATATTATTAATTTAAATATATAATATAATACTAGATGTATAATATAAGATTAGACAATAATATAATATTACTTTAGAAATATTATCGGCTGAGACATAATTGATTAATAATTGACTGACCTAAAAGTTATTTTCTTAATAATCGTTCTAAATTGATGAATATTATTGATGAAACATGATTGATTAATAACTGATTGGCTGATCATACATGGGAACGTTAGGAATTAAATAATCACACTGGTTTTCAATTTTCATTTTGTGGTTAATTAAAAAGCTTTAGTTAAGCTTTTCTTGCTCATTTGAATTCGTGCGATTTTAAAAGAAGCGAATAAATTTAGCTCAATTTTCAAATTTACGATAAGCTGAATGTTTTGAATAACTTATGGATGGCCTTAACGTAGGTTCAACCACCGTAATCCTGGCAAATATTAAGATAATCTTATTTAGGTACGTGGCAGAAAATCATGTCGAAGATACGGTGCATGGTGATGCAGTGCACCACAACTCACTGCGGTGCATGGTGATGCAGTGCACCACAACTCACTGCGGTGCAGGGTGATGCAGTGCACTGGTGCGTTACGGTGCACGTTGCGGTGGTGCAGGCTTATGGCGCTCACCGGCGCGTCGCGGACGATCAAACCGTTGCCGAGTTTTGCCTGTTGGCAAAAAAATTGATTTTGTTGACAAACATTATTTTTTCTTATATTGACAAACATTAAATTTTTATGTTGACTAACATTAGTTTTTTATATTGACAAAAATTGGCTTTTTATATTGACTAACATTAGTTTTTTATTATATTGACAAACATTAATTTCTTATGTTGACTATCATTAGTTTTTTTTAGAATGACAAACATTAACTTTTTATGTTGACTAACATTAGATTTTATATTGACAAAAAAAATTAGCTGTTTATGTTGATTAACATTAGTTTTTTTATATTGACAAAAATTAGCTTTTTATGTTGACAAACATTATTTCTACTTATATTGACAAACATTAGTTTTTTATTTTGACTAACATTGCTGGTGTTGAACAGAGTCTATCTTTTGGATATTTACCTCCACTATAGGCACATCAAAAAGTGTAGAGATCTTGAGCTCGTCTCACACTTCACGAAGATCATTATTAATTATTAATGAACATTAATAAGTGAACATTATTAATTCAAAGCAGAACATTTTCCATAGCTAATTTTTTGAATAAGGTCATGAAAAATTAGAGGAAGTAAGCAAAAAGAATCAACCCTTTAGCCAAACGACGTTGAATCAACGTTGTTTGGTTAAATCAACGTTAATTTAACGTGGTTTCAACGTTGTTTGCTAGGTCGGGAATAAAAAAATAACTTTAGTCTCACCGTAAGTTTATCAAAGACCGTGATGAATAAATAACCTAAGTTCTGACCGTAAGGTTATCAAGGACCGAGAAGAATAAATAACTTAAGTTCTGACCGTAAGTTTATCAAGGACCGAGAATAATAAATAACTTAAGTTCTGACCGTAAGTTTATCAAGGACCGTGAAGAATAAATAACTTAAGTTCTGACCGAGAAGAATAAATAACTTAAGTTCTGACCGTGATCAATAAATAACTTAAGTTCTGACCGTAAGTTTATCAAGGACCGAGAAGTAGAGGTAGAGGAGGGCAAGGGTAGAACGGAGCTCATCGCTGCTGTTGGCCTCCTGGGGACTTGAGGGGAATTTCCAGGCGTGGGGAGGAATGAATTTCCCCTTGAGGGGGAGCTGGCGCCCCTGGGTGACAGCGACGACCCCCAGGCACAGCCCCCAGAGGGCGTTACGCACGTCGACGTCATCAGTGACGTCACTTACGCACCTGTAACGCAAACGTTTCGCTAAAATAATCACTCGTTATTATATCATTAAGTCATTAAATATCATTATAAACAATTCCCCAACCATATATATACCACAAACATATTTGTTTTTTTTTTCACATTACCGTTTCAGTAATTTAATTATGATATTAAAAACGAAATAAATGAGAAGTTTTCCATAGATTAATTTCTCTAACACACAATATCTATTTCTCTCGTTTAAATGATTGCAGGAAAATGGTTAATATGTAATAATATTTACTTATTATTTAATAAAAGTATTTATGAGATATTTGATGAAAGTGATTCATTAAACGTAAAAAAAGGTATTTAAAAAAACACGAGGAAAATATCTGTGTGGGCCGCAGCCTCCTATAATACTAAGAACATTCTAAAATAAACGGCTAATATAATAATATTAGCCGCTAAAAACAATACATGAATTCATAATGATACATTTAGATAAATAATAGAAAGCGACTTAAATAGTTTATTATTTCTCCATGAGACTCAGCAGAAGCAGACCTGTAGAAGACCTCAGGCGAGGAGAAGGGAGAGGGACGGAGAGCGTGCAGAGCACTCAGAGCCTGGAAACTCTGCACGGCCTCACCCACGAGACGGGGATCTGGGGGTGAGGGGGAGACGGGGATGAGGGGGAGAAGGGGATGAGGGGGGAGAAGGGGATCTGGTACGTCAGGGTGCAGGGGACTGGGATCGGTATATCTGATCTGATAATATTTATTTCATGAAAAATTACTCTCTCAATGGAATATTTGAGAATATTATTTTAATTCAATATTTTAATTGATTAAACAATAAACATTGTGATGCTGCACTAACCTGCTGAACGTAAGAGCCGTGCAGCGTGTGCTGCAGGGCACAGCAGCAGCACTGCAGCACTAGCCTCCTGCTGCAGTGCAGCACTGACGCACTGCATGCTGCAGCCCACCACAGCAACGTCAGTATGCAGCAGCATGTCTGCATACAAATAAATCATTCAAAAAATATAACTCAGTATTCACTGCAGTGAGTGACAGAGAGCGCATTTTCTCGTCAACGAAAATGTGAAGTCACGGACGGACAGACAGACGGAAAGACAGACGGACAGACGGACGGACAGACGGACATGGCGAGAACAATAGTGAATTTTTTCATAAATGAGAAAATGCGCAAAAATGAATTAATAATAATGACAATGACGATGGAGCTGGACTCCGAAACGTTTTCTCTTATAAGAAATTGTTGAACTTTTTGGCTATTTTTTTTTTACTTTTAAATTCCTGGTAAATTTGCGACCTAAGCAGCCAAGTGATTTTAATAATAATAATAATTTTTCACCCAAAATCATGAGGTTACAAGCTAAAAATTGAAATAAATGAAAAAAATATTATCTAAAGCCGCACTATATGGACAAAAAATTAAAATTTCTACTAATTGAAATTAAAAACGAAAAGTTTTAATGGAAAACCTTCAATTCAGAGGTTTTGCTGATTCTAATTGAAAGAAGAAATGCTAATAGTTGAGTTAAAGGACAGAAATAAGGACAAAATTACTAACCTGTCAAAAAGACTAAAGTCTCGAAATGTAAGTTTTGTATACAAGCAACAAAATAAAGAATTTACAGATGCGATATTAAAAAAATATTATTCGCAATAGTTATACATAACGAATGTGTAATGAACATAAGATTAGTATAATAATGACATAGGCGCAAATATACTATACTATATAAGTTAGCCGGCAGGTTCAAAAGAAGAAAAAATTTCATATACATCGGACCTGCAGTGACACCATAACAAAACGATATAATTCTAAGGTGAATATTACAATGATAGCTTATTACTTCTGAACGCTCACCATCTCGCACAGCGAACTTTTCACCAGCTGCATCACTAGTCTCACTAGCACTGGGAGCAGCACTAGCATCAGCACCACGGCCGGCACCAGCAGTAACACTAACATCACTAGTTACACTAGCATCAAAGCTAGCACTAGCTTCATCTTCAGGCATAATGATAGCGTATCTGTGGGAACTAACAGCACACCAGATGAAACAAAAAAAAGTGATTATTAATGATATAGAGCTAAATATCAGACTAAAAATACAACTGAATACTTGAATAACATGCGTTTTACATAGAATTAAATATCATGTAACTTCTACTTTCAACTTGAAGAAGATGAAATCTTATGCGGCATTTATTTTTTTATGGAATAAAAAATATTTAACTTCTACTTCCAACTAAAATGTAATGAAATTTTGCACGACACTAAATTCTTATGCACGAGCCCATGAATAAATTTTATAGGTATTGAATTTTGGACATGAAGGTAATTAAATTTTTTTATTTACAAAAGCTCTTATGTGTTAATATTGTATTTATTTTTACGACTAATATAGAAAAAGATCACGAAGTAAATGAATGATCATAACGATGCAGGTAAAATTACACAAGTAATCTATTTAATACTTATTGTGTGTTTAATTAACACGATGATTCCTTTCAAAAAATTGATCACTTATTTATACTTGAACAGAACGAAACTAATGCAACACAGGCCGCTTATTATCAACCAAGACATGCACGGCGTCTTATCTAATTCAAGATAAGCCATTACTGTCAACCAAGACATGCACTGCGTCTTATCTAATTCGAGATAAGCCATTACTGTCAACCAAGACATGCACTGCTTCTTATCTAATTCAAGATAAGCCATTACTATCAACCAAGACATGCACTGCGTCTTATCTTATTCAAGATAAGCCATTACTGTCAACCAAGACATGCACGGCGTCTTATCTAATTTAAAATAAGCCATTAAAGTCAACCAAGACATGCACTGTGTCTTATCTTATTCAAGATAAGCCATTTCTGTCAACCAAGACATACACTGTGTCTTATCTTATTCAAGATAAGCCATTTCTGTCAACCAAGACATGCACTGTGTCTTATCTTATTCAAGATAAGCCATTTCTGTCAACCAAGACATGCACTGGGTCTTATCTAATTCGAGATAAGTCATGACCGTCAACCAAGACATGCACTGCGTCTTATCTTATTCAAGATAAGCCATTACTGTCAACCAAGACATGCACTGGGTCTTATCCAAGATAAGCCATTTCTGTCAACCAAGACATGCACTGCGTCTTGGTTGGCAGTACTGCACATCACTGATAAGCTACGCGGTGCCCAATCTATTCGGTACTTGCATTAAATGCCTTTTTATATCATTGCACGTTTCACAATTTGTATTTATCTTTCCAGCAGCTACTTTAATTTTTGAAGACCAGGCTTTCTTTCTGTTGATCCGCTAAACAAACAAATAAAATATTTCTCGTTGCTTTGCAGATATGATCTTCAAAACGTGTTGATGGCAGGGTGGCCCAGTGGTTACAGTTCAGAGTACCAAGATTGGCGCAGAGAGGCGCGGGTTCGATCCCAGCTCTGTGCGCCAGTTTCTGGTCAGAATCGGCAAGGAGGCCGGGCGGTTAAGCACGTTAGAATTTGAATCAGTAAGTTGCGAGTTCGAGACCGCAAAATGCTGTGAATGTTCTGCGATGTTTAGACTCGGCGACAGGCCTACGGCCTAATAAACGCTGAAACCGCTATTATTACTATTATGAGTATTGTGGATGCATGCATCAAATCAGATTTTGAGGAGATGAGTGCAATGCATGTGAAACTTTGTTGGTTTCACAATTCATTTGCCATTCTCTTTACATTTTCCAGTTCCAGCTATTCGTTAGATGGCGCTAAATGAACTCAAGCCATCATCACTAAAGAGCCATCATCCTTGCTCTTTTATTTTCACGAGGTTGATGGCCGCGATAATAGCTCTTTTTAGCGCATTTTCTCATTTATGGAAAAAATTCACTATTGTGCTCGCCATGTCCGTCTGTCTGTCCGTGACCTCAAGTTTTCGTCGACGAGAAATGCGCTTTCTGTCAAACACTGCAGTGAGTACTGAGTTATATTTTTTCAGCATTGCTGGTTCTCTAATATTATTGTCATTATGTCAGTATAAGACTCTTCAATTTTATAATATTTCTATTTCAGCGCATTAGTTTTTCTTAGGGCCCCATTGATCGCTGCCTCCTAACACCTTCCCTCATCACCGCAACCCTCGCGTCGCCTGCGACACTGCAGCGCTATACAGTACTGTATTGTACTGTACGACTGTACAGTGCTATACTGTACTGTACGACTGTACAGTGCTATCCTGTACTGTACGACTGTACAGTGCTATCCTGTACTGTACGACTGTACAGTGCTATCCTGTACTATACGACTGTACAGTGCTGTAGTGCATCATTGATGCGCTGTTGATGAAGACTGTACAGTGGTACGGTCTTCATCAACAGCGCATCCAACGCATCAATGATACGCTCTTTGGCAGGGCTAAACTGGGAAATCTGACCCACTTGAGGGCAAAAGTGCATCGCTATTAGGACCAGGTTCTCTGCATGTCTCTGACTGTACTGTAATATTAAGACGAGCTGGAACGAGTTCGCAGCAGCAGGGGTTGGTTGTGTGAACTGTTTTCTTAAAAAAATTGGTTAAATAACCGTTTGAATGAAAAAGTTCACGTTAAAAACTCCCACAAGTTTTGACGGAAACAAAATGTATATACATATCATACTCACCATGATACATTGATTTCATCACAATCCCACACCCACACAAGCTCATGCCTTAATACTGACCCCATTTCATGCCATTATTCTGACTCCAAATCACGACATAATTCTGCCCACGACACTGAGATGGCATTTAAAGAGCAAATACAAGACAATATTATGTTTCAAAATATATTTCGTGCAAACATGTCGACTAAATCATTGCAATCTGTTACAGCCGATACAAACGATCTGGATGACTATAATAAAATAACACGTCTTTCGGACAACACTAAGATTACTAATCTCGATATGGACTCCGTTAAAACATGCAATAGATTCCCGTCAACTATTAAGGATCTTCGAGTCATCCTGTAGGATAATTCTCGTCCTTTGAGTTAAGTTACTAGTAGGAAAGTTTTCTCGTCCTTTATGTTAAGTTAGTAGGAAAGTTAAGTAGCGGAAAGTATTCGGTAGGAAAGTTAATATTTCTAACACATAGAAGGCACTTATGGCATGTGGACGTTAGAGATTCAGATTCATTATGGAGGTTAACTTCTAGAGATTCAAAGCAAATTCATTGTAGAGCAAAGAAATACTAAAGAAATATTTCATTTCTCCTGGTCCAGGCTGATAGAATAAATGCAAACATCAATGAAAATAAAGCAGAAACTTTGTCCATCCGCTTTCCGTTGTCAAATTAAAAGTTGAAATACGTCATATAAATCTATTGTAAACTTGAGAACCAATAAAAAAAATCTGATTGAAGCCGTCCTGAGATGTGTTTTGCAGGGAACGCTGCACATGATTGTGTTATTAGCTTTAACATTTCAGGAAAAAACGTGTGCCTAACGCTCAGATTACATCAAAATGTGCAACTTAAACTTCAGCATGAATGCATTTATCAAGAATGAATACATGTACTAACACACCCGGTTAATCATATTCAGTGTTGAAAAATTCTTCAAACTCGCGTTATTTGTGACGCTGAACAAACTGATAGAGAAGGATTTACTTAATCCATGTTGAGAAAACTCTTCAAACTCACATTATTTGAGATTGTGAATACACTGACAAAGACGGATTTACTTAATCCATGTTGAGTAAACTCTTCAAACTCACATTATTTGAGATAGTGAATTAACTGACAAAGACGGATTCACCTAAGCTGTGAGGAGCGTAAGACAGCAACGAAATGCAAATTCCTGACAAAGCTCCTAAGCTAGCAATGCCCTCGAACATCCAGAAGTATAAAGTAGGATAAATTAAGAAAGTAACAGAGTAGTACAAAGTAAGAAAGTAAGTGTGTAAATAGGTGAGTAGAAGTGGACCGATCGACACGACGGCCTAGTGAGGAGTCATGCACAAAAATAATTCCAGGATGACAGGATTCCTGGATCTGGAAATTCCAAAATAATTCCTGGATGACAGGAATGGGTCAATAAGTCAAGTAGAAACGGACAACATTGTCTTGATATTCAAGCACGAAGCATCAATTCTTCATTAGGTAACCAATGCTGTCAATCTGAGTGCAACGACGTCAAAGAGTACGTAAATATAAGATAACAATAATAATTAATAAAATAAATGATAAGAGATCCACAGTAATCTCCACGAGAATAAGTGAGATTTTTAATTCATCGAAGATAGAGCCAGTGCAATGCATGGAATGTTTGCAGCATTTACCAATACTACAACTCTCGAGTCTATATTGAGTTTGTGCTTACGTTAGCAAACACAAAAAGATGGTAGATACAGGCACATGCTTTCTGGACAATTTTGAAACAGTATTGGCTTCTACCAGTGATCAGTTGATATAATTTGCACTAGGATTAGAGGTTCAGCAAAGTCTTAAAAAAATGAAACGATTAGAGAGCAACGACGCGCAACACTTGAGCCAGCATGGCCAATTGTAATGCACGCGAAATGAACCGAAATCTGACAGCTTCGCAAGATGGTTCAGCGATGATAGATTCAAATATCTACGGATTTGAAGATTATGTTTTTCTTTAAGAACTAAATAACAGTGTAAAACTTCACTATTAACGGACTTATTCATAAATTATGAAACTAAAAGCTGATAGATTCGTATTTATAGTAAGTCTGCAGGAGAGTTTCTGTACAGAATATTGCTTCCAGAAGTCTGGATCAGTTCTTACATGTTACTGAGAACGGATTGTTACAATAATATAAATGAGATATAGTAACGACATCACAATTGAAAATCGTCTACATAAAAAAACAAAGCCCAGAATAAGGACACCAATTAAATACAATCAATCATCGATGTATTCAATATTTAATGACGATTATATTCATTTAAGATGGATTTAATCCCCGGATGGAAAAGAGAAGCCCTTCACAGAAAAGACGGCGTCCGTAAAAGCATGTCACTCAAAGCCACAAAGTAATAAAACACTTTCACATTTTTCGTTTAAGCAATCGAAACGAACGTTGTTCAATTAAAGTAGACCTAGTGATATAAAATCAAAGCTTAACGAATGAAAACCAATATTGTCGAATAAAATAATCGCAAAGTCCGCACTGAAATGGTTGCTCTGAATGCCGTTACTACCGATAACTCTAGAGACAAGATAAACAGCGGCCGCTCTAACACATTCAAATGTAACTTGAACAGTTTTAGGTGAAGCGTTCTGCAGATTATATCGTGTCAAAAGAAGTTGATAAAGTTATTAGTTAAAGACGAAATGGCCATAGCATGTAGAATGAAATAGGGTTCGCCTTTTAAATGGAATACCGCCCAACGCAAAGGAACACAACTCGTGCACCACAAACCGGTTACACCTGCCACCACTACAGTCCCATCACAATGACAACCATCATCACCAACACTGGTCTACATTTGACTTCACCATAGTCACCACTACTTGTCTATATTAGATAATCAACGTCACCACAAATAGTTGTCGAACTTTGACATCACCACAGCTGCTAAAGGCACGTAACAAACGGTTTCATGGGACTTCAGATGATAAGATGGCTGATGATAGATGGCTGGGATAATGATGGATGACACCTCTATGGAAATACGATGACGTAGGAGGTGACGACTCACGTGAGGGCGTCTTGGTCTACGCTCATGTGACTAGCGTCAGAGAGAGAGAACAGAGCCGTGGCTTGCAAATACTTGAGCCCGAGTAACCCAGCGGCTGACGACGTCTTATCAGCTGCTGATGAATGACCATCAGACTCTGGGTCAGCAACCTCAGAAACAGCTTCTGCTTCGTCAGTCAACGGACTGTCAGCATCGTCACGAGGCATGAGCCAGCGAGGCTGCGCCTCAACAGAGTCGGGAAGTGAGGCGACGTGTCGGTGACGAGGGAGCACACCATGACGAAGGAAGGCGAGGAGACGACGAGCCTCCCTGACGCCGGCCTCCCACGCTCCGGGGACGGTGCTGTACAGGTGGCGGTGGGTGGCCTCCCCACAGAACTGCAGCACCTGTAGGCGAGCAAGTCTTAGTGCCGGGGTATTAGCACTGATAATTATACTCGCACTCATTACTTAATTATACACACAAGTTATCAACGTGATAGGTGTTTCAATAAAAATATAATTAATATGATGGGTGCGTGTGTAATCGATTGCCACTGCACATGACGAGCAGTGGCAGGACAAGTGTAGTGGCAGGATAAGTGTAGTGGCAGGATAAGTGTAGTGGCAGGATAAGTGTAGTGGCAGGATAAGTGTAGTGGCAGGATAAGTGTAGTGGCAGGATAAGTGAAGTGGCAGGACAAGTGTAGTGGCAGGATAAGTGTAGTGGCAGGTTAAGTGTAGTGGCAGGATAAGTGCACGTGGGCGCCGCGGTCTGACCGGGACGCCCCGCAGGACGACGGGCTGGGCGAGGTCGGCCGCCCACACGTCGCAGTCGTCGGCCTGCATCGTCCTGAAGCTGTACGCGCCCCTGATGGAGGGGTTACTGCTCCACGTGCTCCTGCAACACACAACGTGTGATTAGTCCTCCTGCAACACACGACTTGTTATTATTGCTCCTGCAACACACGACTTGTTATTACTGCTCCTGCAACACACGACTTGTTATTACTGCTCCTGCAACACACGACTTGTTATTACTGCTCCTGCAACACACGACGTGTGATTAGTGCTCCTAGTCACCTAGTCAATAGGATAAGTTGTTGGAGTTATTTTCGATTTCTTGGGTCCCGTTTATCGTCGTGGGTCCTTGTTGTTAAAAGAGATGCTAGATGAATTGAGGATGTGGAATTTCTCTAGGCTTAACAGCGCGGTCGATCACTGGCCTAGTTATCGAATTAAGTGAAGTTAGTTTAAGGTCGTCGTCATCTGTGAAACCGCTTAGTGTAAGAGGTGGAAGAAGAGGACGAATGTGGATGGCTGTGAGGTCAAAGAGAGTGAGTAATCTTGAGGATTATCGCGGCTGTGAAGGGAAACTGTCAGAGTCGCGGGCTATCTGGGACGAGCTCAGGACCCGGGCCTCTCTTAGGTCAAGAGGGAGAGGGCATGAGGAAGCAGGAGGTGGGTCGCTAGGATAGAAAATATGAATGCAAAAAAGAGCATGTCACAAGATAGTTGTGGGTCAGATGTACGTTGAAAGAATATGATTACATCCGATCTTTGGCCTTGGGTGCACCAGACAGGCTTGGGGACGCACTTGGTGCCCCAGACGGGCTTGGGGACGCACCTGGTGCCCCAGACGGGCTTGGGGACGCACCTGGTGCCCCAGACGGGCTTGGGGACGCACCTGGTGCCCCAGACGGGCTTGGGGACGCCCCTGGTGCCCCAGACGGGCTTGGGGACGCACCTGGCGCCCCAGGGGGCAGTACCTGCACGGGGTCCCGAGGGGGCAGTACCTGCACAGGGTCCCGAGGGGGGCAGTACCTGCACGGGGTCCCGAGGGGGCAGTACCTGCACGGGGTCCCGAGGGGGCAGTACCTGCACAGGGTCCCGAGGGGGGCAGTACCTGCACGGGGTCCCGAGGGGGGACGGAGAGGTCGTTGAGGAAGTTGAAGCCCGCGCAGTCTGCGGGCCACCACGGCTGCTCGAACTGCACGAAAACTTTGGCCACCGCGTCGAAGCCGAGACTCTGTGGGCACAAAATGATAGTTAGGAAGTTAAATAGGAAATAATAGTAATAGGAAAATAAAGAAATGCGGAACGCTCCGTGAAAACATGATCATTGTGAAGAGAGCTGAAAGAAACACTCTGAAATGACAACAAGTTAAACGTCAATTGGCAGGAAATGTCTGCGAGAAAATGCACCCTTACCCCCTTAGAAAATACACTCGGCAAATAGGATCTTAAAGTGAGTGGGCAAACAACTAAGAAAATCTTAAAGCGGGGAATGAACAGCAAAAGCACAAATATCTTCAAGGTATGAACAAGAGGCAGACTTGCATAGAGCGCCAAGCTACGATATTTTACAGCTGATTTGGCATTTGATTTAAAAAATATTATTACTCTTTATATTTCAGATTAAATTTATGACATTGGAAGATTAATCAGCTAGTTTAAATAATAAAATAAAACTAGTCCGCATTACATACGACCTCTGGCAACAAGACGAGTCTGAAGCTTCAAATCCAAGAACAATCATAGCTAAATGATAGCCAAGAGCGGGCAAACCTCTAACTCGTAATGATAGATATTTTAGTCATCAATCATTATCTTAGTAATGGGAAGTACTCATCGCACCATACGTAATAATTATTATAAGGCTTTGCGAAAATAGCTTACAATAGTGACATGAAGGCGGCATCGTAGTTATAGTGCAGCCGGAAGTATAACACACTATTTTGCACTTGTAATTCAGTCTGCTTATATCGCAAGTTCACAAGGAATTTAAAAGCAAAGAAAACACCAACCAAATTCACCATATCGATATTGAAAACGTGTCGGAGTCCGTACGTTTCGTACATCTGATGATGGAGCTGGACTCCGAAACGTTTACACTATTATGTTCTTCATTATCATGATAATGAAAGTTTACACTTGTCATTGTAGTTTTCTTTAAACAGCATTACTAATTCGTGTAGAGACTCGCCTCAATAGCAAGCATCTTCCTGGGAGGCAGCTGAGGCGAGAAGAAATCATGATAATTAAAAGTTTACATTTGTCATAGTTTTCTTTAAACAGCATTACTAATTCGTGTAGAGACTAGCCTCAATAGCAAGCATTTTCCTGGGTGGCAGCTGAGGCGAGAAGAAATGCTGCGCCGTGGCCTTCAGCACGCCCAGAGATGCTGAGTAGATGACATGGTCTGCGACCACCACCTGGTCTGCCAGGGCTATCCTGCACGGTGGGGGTCTGCTCTGCGCTGCAGTGCTCAGCGCTGAGGCGTCTTCGGAAGTTTCAGGTTGGCCAACGGCTGTAATAACGTATTTAGTTGATAAACTTCTAGATAAGTTTCTTTTCAAGTAAAAAATGTTATTTAGTAAGTTTACGGCATCACAGTAATTGGTAATGAGAGATAAAAAAGTTTAATTGCCTCTTAAAGTGGAAAATCTAATGGGGGAAAAAACCAATTAGCAAATATGTAGAAAGACGCCAGGAACAAACATTTCGTTTAGTAAGGTATCAAAAACTTGAGTTCATTGACCCTTCCAACGAGTACAAAATTTAAAATTAATAAGATTACGGTACTACGGTATTTCTCAAAATTAAAATTATAAATGAGAATTAATTAATTTATACACTAAACCATTACTGTTACGCTGAGCCGATAGATATTCGAAACAAAATCAGAGTACTAACATTCAGAATAAGGAAATGAAGTAAGGATATAAAGTACTAAAGAAATACAGCAAGGAAATAAAGCAAGAAAATGAAGCAGGGAAATGAAGCAATGAAATAAAGCAAGGAAATAAAGCATGGAAATGAAGCAGGGAAATGAAGCAGGGAAATTAAGCACGGAAATGAATCAGGAAAATGAAAAAGATAATGAAGCAAAGAAAAAAAAGCAAGGAAATGAATCAAGGAAATAAAGCAAGGAAATAAAGCAAGGAAATAAAGCAAGGAAATAAAGCAAGGAAATAAAGCAAGGAAATAAAGCAAGGAAATAAAGCAAGGAAATGAAGCAAGGAAATGAAGCAAGGAAATGAAGCAAGGAAATGAAGCAAGGAAATAAAGCAAGGAAATTAAGCAAGGAAATGAAGCAAGGAAATTAAGCAAGGAAATTAAGCAAGGAAATGAAGCAAGGAAATAAAGCAAGGAAATGAAGCAAGGAAATTAGGCAAGGAAATGAAGCAAGGAAATAAAGCAAGAAATGAAGTAGGGAAATAAAGCAAGGAAATAAAGCAGATAAATAAAGCAAGGAAATAAAGCAAGACAGAGAGCAAGTAGAGACTGACGTGTATGAGCAGAGAGGGACGACAGACGTGTTGCCAGCTGGTCGACGAGGGCAGCCTCCCCCCACGCCACCTTCAGCGCGGGACTGTTCAGTAGGATACGCTCCCTGCCAACACGGTCCTGTAACACGGGCAACACGGTCCTGCAACACGGGCAACTAGCAACACGGTCCTGCAACACTAGCAACTAACTCACTCGCCACTAATTGCCCGCAACATTTCTGTGAACGTAGCTCAATGGTAATTAAATATAAAAAAATTAGTATACGAAGCTCTTCCCAAGTTTCCAACATATTACACAGCGGTCACTTCGGTAACGATTATTACGATGGTTACCTACTGCTAGGGTTTGAGCAGCAAATGGATGTACCAGAAAACGAGTATAACTTCATTACTTTGTATTGTAATTCAAGCAATTGCCTTGTTGATGAAAACTTGTCACTGAAGTTTTGAATGGAAAGTAATGTATATTCCAGTCACTGAGATGAATTTTGGACACTATTTCAAGCGTTCATAAGCAGTAATTCAATCTTTTTTGATAGGAACTTAAGAATACAAGATAAACCATACAGTAAGACTCTTAACGATGATTAAACGCAGCTGCACTCACCACTAGATGATCCATGATGGTCTGGTAACCCTGCACTCACCACCAGATGATCCATGATGGTCTGGTAACCCTGCACTCACCACCAGATGATCCATGATGGTCTGGTAACCCTGCACTCACCACTAGATGCTCCATGATGGTCTGGTAACCATGACTTGCCCAGTTACCTCCTGGGTTACCAGGAAGCTCCCAGTACTCGCTCCTGGTAGCTGCTGATACCTGATGGAGACGAAGGCATTAATCATATTAATATTAATTGCATTAATCATTTAAATGAACCCTCTTGCCTGGTTGAGTGAAGGATGCTTCTTATTCACGGCATGAAAGAAACATGAATTTGTTGTGCCTCATAAGCAAAGCCAGCCTCATAAGCAAAGCCAGCCTCATAAGCAAAGCCAGCCTCATAAGCAAAGCCAGCCTCATAAGCAAAGCCAGCCTCATAAGCAAAGCCAGCTTCATAAGCAAAGCCAGCCTCATAAGCAAAGCCAGTCTCATTAGCAGGGCCAGTCTCATTAGCAGAGCCAGTCTCATTAGCAGACCCAGTCTCATTAGCAGAGCCAGTCTCATTAGCAGGGCCAGTCTCATTAGCAGAGCCAGTCTCATTAGCAGAGCCAATCTCATTGGCAGAGCCAGGCTCATTAGCAGAGCCAGGCTCATTAGCAGAGCCAGGCTCATTAGCAGACCCAGTCTCATTAGCAGAGCCAGTCTCATTATCAGAGCCAGTCTCATTAGCAGACCCAGTCTCATTAGCAGAGCCAGTCTCATTAGCAGAGCCAGTCTCATTAGCAGAGCCAGTCTCATTAGCAGAGCCAGGCTCATTAGCAGAGCCAGTCGCATTAGCAGAGTCAGGCTCATTAGCAGAACCAAGCACATTAGCAGAGCCAGTCTCATTAGCAGAGCCAGGCTCATTAGCAGAGCCAGGCTCATTAGCAGAGCCAGGCTCATTAGTAAAGTGACGCTCGTTAGTTCATCATATAAGACCATAGAATGTTACCCGAATTTAGTGACATTGCAAGCAACAAAAGGTTCACTAAAATTAGAATGAACCTCTTGATTGCACCAACATGAAGCTACACATTTGATGATCTCTTCATCATACTGATAATAGAATTGCTTCACATTTTATTGCTGGATTTATATATTGGAATTAGAAATTTGTAAAATATACTCGAGTGAAGACAAATTTATTCGTAATTGATAAATTTTCTGCTTATTATTCATTGACGACTCAAGCAGGTGCTGCCCTGATGTTATACTATACTGCACTACACTATAGTACACCATTACTGGAGCAGTGTCTCATCTGATGCTAGCCAGAAGACCAGTCTATGATACACTGCAGGATTTCGTACCAACTATACTACGTATAATTCACTCTACTGTAACGAACTATAAGTGGTAGAGTGGCCCAGTGGTTACAGTTCAGAGTAGCAAGATTGGCGCAGAGAGGCGCGGGTTCGAGCCCAGCTCTGTGCGCCAGTTTCTGGTCAGAATCGGCGAGGAGGCCGGGCGGTTAAGCACAGCAGAATTGTAGCAGTGAGTTGCGAGTACGAGACCGCAAAATGCTGTGAATGTTCTACGATGTTAAGAATCGGCGACAGGCCTACGGCCTAATAAACGCTGAAACCGCTATTATTATATTATTATTCTGCGATGTTAAGAATCAGCGACAGGCCTACGGCCTAGGGCCTACTAAACGCTGAAACCGCGATTATTATTATTATAACACTATACTACACTGCACCATGACTGTGACCCACTTGATGCCAGCTGGCTGACCCATCTATGTTGCACTGCAGGCGACCATACCAGTCGAGCATCTGCCACCCAACGGAGCCCCACTTGTTCACAGCGCTGAACCTGGAAGCACGGTGACACTATCAGTCAAAGTTATTCAGAGAAGATAATTAATTTACATGCTTTCTAAACTCTCAGTGACTAGCAGCCGCTACATTTTCAGTAGCGGCAGCGGCGCTACATTTAGAGCATGTAGCGGTAACGATAGCGCCCGCTACATTTAGAGCATGTAGCGGTAGCGGCCGCTACATTTCAAAGTAGTGCTGCCCAGCTCTGATAATACCTGATTAAACACGTAGAGCTAAGCCAAGGAAATTTCAACCTTTTTCAACCTATGGTCTCAGAAGGGATCTCGACATGATGTGAAGTTAATTCAAAAGGACAATCAGAAGAAAATTTATTTGCACAAGTGGAAAACTTTCAAACTGTCATGAGGAGTTGCACATGCCTTCATCTCTTTAAGCTAATTAAAAACGAATGGTAAGAAATAAATAAGTTTAATCTTAGTGTTGCAACACCTCAAAAAGTTATTGAGCAATGTTAAAACAATCCCAATGCAAATGCTATAAAAACTGAGAGTTTAAGAATAAAGGCTAAAACCAAAAAAGTTGCATAAAACATTTTACTGAATAGAAGTCCTAGATAAACAAAACAGAACGTTTCGGGCTATGCCCATCATCAGCTAGTAAAATACAACTGGAATTACATGGAAATCAATTTTAGTAAATAAATTTAGAAAATTATAAGGAAAGAAAGGAAAAAACACAACTATTGACCTAGAATTGAAAGAGGAAAAGAGCTGGACTGGTTATTCAATTTAGGTTTAAGTTTATGGATGTAAAGAGACTCTAAAATTCGTAAATCGGTTTGGCTGCTAGCGTTACAAAGAATTTTAAATTGATTGATGGACACGGGAGGAGCAAGTGAGCACTGTTCTGTATGAAGTCTGACTGACTTCTTTTCAGTAAAATGTTTTATGCAACTTTTTTAGTTTTAGCTTATATTCTTAAACTTAGAAGAACTCCTGGGAGTTTAACAATGCACACACCAAAGCGCAACTTTACTTGTGCGCACTTGGTCCGACAATAAGGCAGGTTTGCTCCAATATTTATTTATATTTACTCAGATATCAATGAATATTTATACATAAATGCTCTGATACTAATAAACATTTACTCTAATACTTATCTATATTTCCTATATTATTGGTGCATACATACTTGCTCTAGCATTATTGCATATTTATGGGGCGCATCCATGGGTCAAAAATTCAACTCTTAAATGAGCCCTGGAGCCAGCGCCCAGCCTCATCATGCAATAACTTTTATCAGCCATCAACCATCAGCCGCTGAATACGCTAGAACTCCGTAATCTAGAACAGTAACACACTGCTTAAAGATAACAACATAATAGGTTTTCAGCCAATACTTAAGCATGCTCGCTCATAAGCAGGCAATTTTGCATCCGATGGCACTTACTCGGGCATAACCTATTCACGCTGACCGCCTTTCAAACTTCCTGCAGCCAATGAGGCTAGGTTATGTCTGCTCAGGTTTGTTTCAAGTGAAAACTTGTAACAAGGCTGAGCAGACCTCAGGCCGGAAGAGGTTATGCGAGAAGAGGTTAGGCCAGACGAAGTTAGGCCAGAAGAAGTTAGGCCAGACGAAGTTAGGCCAGACGAAGTTAGGCCAGAAGAGATTAGGCCAGACGAAGTTAGGCCAGAAGAAGTTAGGCCAGAAGAGGTTAGGCCAGAAGAGGTTAGGCCAGAAGAGGTTAGGCCAGACGAAGTTAGGCCAGAAGATGTTAGGCCAGAAGATGTTAGGCCAGACGAAGTTAGGCAAGAAGATGTTAGGCCAGAAGTGGTTTGGCCAGCTGCAGTATGGCCATGACTACCTTTAGCATGCTCAAGTGGTGGGCTGTGGACACGCGGAACTATAGTTCTAAGCAGTTGACTTCATAGGCAGCTATGCCCTCTGGCGTTCTTACCCACAAAAGTGAGTAAGAACCAAATGTGACATTGAGCAGAGCTGGCCTCCGGCATGCGCCCCTCTATTTACTTCAATACTAATGCATGCTTTATCCAACATTAATGTATATTCACAGCACTATTAACGCATTAGCTCACTGTTCTTCAAAGTATTCCCCAAGTGATCCTTCACAGTCCGACAGATCTTCATTCTCGAGCTCGTCGATGGCGTCTTCGATGCTGGCAGCCAAGTCCGTGGGTAACACCGCACCGTGGGGGTCCACGCACATGTACTTGTCTTTACCTGCAATGCACATGTACTTGTCTTTACCTGCAACGCACATGTACTTGTCTTTACCTGCAACGCACATGTACTTGTCTTTACCTGCAATGCACATGTACTTGTAATAAATTGACACAAAACGGCAAGTCTCAGTTAGATGTTAATCAAAGCAAATATTTTCAATAATAAATCTGGTGGCCTTCACTAAATCTTGATAAAATCTCAGAGGCAAATTTTAAAGAGAGGTTAATAACTTGCAGTCAACAGACTATAGGCAAATTAAGGCTCTTCATAAAGGAAGAGAAAAATGATTCCCTCAAACAAGAATTTTAATATTATTAATATTTCTACTCAAGCAAGAGGCAAGATCTTGACAACATAAGGCAATGTCTTTTATATCTGCAATATTCCAAAACGATTTATCTAACTCCCATATTTATTCAAATAAACTATTTAAGCTTGAAAATCCTAACCTCTCAGATATGGCTCATAAAATATGAATGGAATATAATTTTAAACAATAAGAAATAATTTATAACTTTGCAAATAATAACTGATCACAAATTATTTTTGACTTGATCACATTTTCACGAGTCTACAATGCTCCTTGTGGATGAACATAACCATGGTACTATGTTTTGAATAGCATCACAATAAAATAATTTAAAAATATAAAATACTACTCAATCCAAAATTAAATTTTTTGTGTGGCTTAGAAAAATACTATAACATGAGTCATCATTCTAACTTAGCAAAACTTCCTGTTATGGCAGACCTAAAATATCTGGACTGCAATGTGGACTCAGTTATATTTGTCTCGCTATCTACCATTGAAAAAAATTCATATACAATCTGTTAAATATAAACTCATCTGATACCATTTTGTTGAAATAGTATTGAAATCAGGAATATACCTACATATTAGCGATGATTTTCTCACAGAAATCTTGTCCCGTCTCAAAATAGGTATGAAATTCCCCTAAAGCACAAGTATTTTCTATGTTTTTATATCTAATTGGCACAAAGCTTTTATTATTATTATGGCTTGTCTTTGATGAATGAAAAATGAGAAAAAGATGCTTACCACCTACAAACAAATTATTTATTTATTCCACTTCATATGCCACCAGTATAATTAAAACAGTATCAAGGATTAAGGAAAATGCATACAAAGACTTTCAGAAAAAGAGAAAGGTGCAGAGTCCAAAATTTAAAAGCAAGAAAAAAAAATTATTTGATTCCAGAAACTTCATCATATCTTCTAAGAAATGTTATTGAGAACAGCACCATTGTCAGTTCAAAAAGTGTATAGAAAACATGTACAATCAGGTAGTAAAAATTGAAACAGATAGAGTGAATTTATTTGGTATTTTATTTGTTTTTGAATTATTAGTGAACTTGCAACTTAAGCAGACTAATGATATTTAGACTCACTGAGCATGACGGGCTCAGATTCCTGTAGGAGCCGTTGCGGGCAGTTTTTCTTGGCCCACTCGTACACGCAGTTGCCTTTCTCTCCATGTAACCAGTTAGCTCCCATCTCCAAGTGTGAGTCTCCTGAAACATATACAATTGTTTAAATTTAACCTAGATGCTTAATATTGAAATATTACTTCATATATGACTACCGTAGTAAACTGGTTTTATGGTGTTCAAATATGGCCAAATGAAATGAAATATGACGGTGACAATTTGTAAAAATAAAGATATTAAATACTACTAGTTTGGCATTGCATGAACCATAATAAAAAAGATCCATGGACAAAGTAAAAAACATATTTTGGATTAGAAATATTTGAAAATTGACAAAAGACTAGAATGTAAATGATCAGCTTGAAACAAGAGATCTCCAAATTCAAGTTAACATTTCAAAGTGCAACTGCACAAATGCATGAAAGTAGAGATTCTATGGATTATTAGTTACCTATTAGCTACTCAAGAGTCTTGGCAAGTTATAAAAATTTAGTGGCATCAGTCGTGTTGCAGTCATGTGACAAGTTAGTTAGTTAGTTTAGTGGCCAAATGTTTACTAGCGCTTCAGCTATTTAGCTATCTCGCACCGAAAGTCAAGATGAACATCACCATAAAAGGTGGAAGGTCTCAATTATTCATCACCCACAAGGGGCGGAAGGTCTTGTGACAAGTCCAAGGTTTCAAAATTACGGTAATGTAAGGCGTGAGGTTCCTGAACTTAGTGACTATAATAGCAATAATTCTTGAACTTAGTGACTATAATAGCAATAATTCTTGAACTTAGTGACTATAATAGCAATAATTCCTGAACTTAGTGACTATAGTAGCAATAATTCTTGAACTTAGTGACTATAATAGCAATAATTCTTGAACTTAGTGACTACGGTACAATAGCAATAATTCCTGAACTTAGTGACTATAATAGCAATAATTCCTAAACTTGGTGATTCAAGTTTTGTAGAAACTTTTTTGGGTCTTTCATCTTATCTATATTCTATACCTTGATACTTTTGCATATAAACAGATTGTTTTCTCTCAAAGTCTGCTATCAGTGCACGACACTTGACTAAAATATGCCACAAGCAAATGGAATGAGACTCCTAGCTCTGTTATTGGGCTTGGCCATAGGCAGCAAATTCGAAACCTTGATGTTGATTAGCCGAGATTAAAGTGTATCCATCAATCAGATCACAGCAGTACTCCAACAAATATACTTTTGATCAGAAATCCAAAACAAAATCCATTAGAAGAACATTCCAAGAAAAACTTCTGAGGTTGATGGTTAAACTTTGCTTGAGTTCATTGAATAGTATGGTAATTCCATTATTTCAAACACCAATACAAATTAGGATTAAATCATCAAGTTAGGAGTTGCTAAATTAACATAGGTACACTTTGTTGTCCACACTCACCATGTTTTATAGTGTGAACTCTGCCACCATAACGCCCTGCTGCCTCCAGTACAATGACATCTTTCATGCCCGCAGCTACAAGCTCTCCAGCTGCAGCAGCACCACTGATACCACAGCCAATGACACAGACTTTAACCTGAAATTTAATAAGAATGAATAAAGTATAACTAGCTACATCCTTCAAAATCACTCAAACATACGTAAGTGGCCTAAGAGAAATGGTACATTCTTGCCTGTGATTCTTGGAAATTGCTAGGCAAATAATTTGAATTCATAATTTCCAGAAAACTCTGAATGATATTTCAGATTGAAACTTGTTTGGAGCTGTACATTTTCACTAAAAAATTAAAGTCTTCCACATGGCAAGGATTTTAATTTAGTCTGAAGGTAACCTGAAAAATTGTGCAGAAGCCATGGGTGGACAGTGGATAAGACAAAAATGTCTGTGCTTGTGGATGCCACTCAACTTAAGTCAATTTCACCCATCTACAACTACATTCAAAAAATATATTATACATCAAAACATACAGGGTGCATTATGAAAGTAATGAGCATTTTCTGGAAAATAACATTTATTGATCATAATTTGTACAAATGTTCAGTATTCTTCAAAATACATTCCTCCTGCATCAATACACTTGCGGAGATGTGTTTGCCATGCCTGAAAGGCACCCTGAAACTCCTCGACCGGAATGCCTTCAGGAACATTGTAACATGGTGTTGTATGTGGAAAAGGTGAGTTTACAGTTGGTCCTTGGCTCCTTGCGGTACTACAAACTCACAATGGACTATTTCTTGGATGTCAAAGAAGACAATGATCATCATTTTGATTGCAAAACTTTGCAGTTTGCACAGTCGATCCACATTCTCTTCAGTTGGGGTTGGCATCCAGAACGGGGTTTGTTGGCAACCTCCTCCCGGCCCACCTTGAACGCCTTGTGCTACTTCCCAGATTGTGATCTTGAAATGCAGTCATCCACAAAGGCTTCTTGCAGCATCTGGAATGTTTTGGTTGCATTTCTTCCAAGCCTCAAGCAAAACTTTATGGCATATTGTTGTTCCAGCTAATGCTCCATCATGCTATGTTACAAAAGTCTAAAACACACTTCACACAGAGGCTCGTTTCCCTGCTCATACTGTTCAAACTCAACTGACAACTGGACTGGATGCACTGAAAGGGCATATCCCCCACCACAATCCCCAGCCAGTTTGACTGTGCTGTGGCCATGCCATCTATTGTTGCATCACAATAACATCATGCTCATTACTTTCATAATAACTCTGTATAAGTGTATATAAATACTTACCCTAATTTCCTTCATTTGTTTCAGAGAAGCTGCCATTTTTACTACTAAAAATGCTAGAAATTTCTAAAATAATTAAGTAATATAAAACTTGGTAAAATAATTCTTTTGCAGCGTTGCTACTTGCTAGGCTTGGACAGTTGAAAGCAAAATCTGAAGGTAAATATACTATAAAAAAGTTCACCTGAAAAAGGAAAAGGTAATTCCATTAATTACTAGAAAATGCTATTCATTCATTGTGAATAAGTTTAAACTACCTATATTCATTTCCTTCATGGCTTCATTCATTATTTCATTTGCTTCAGTCTTTCAGTTTCAGATAGTACTACTAGTACTAGCACTAGGTACTGCAGCCTTGCAGGAGTGCAGGTAGTACGCTGTATGCCACATACAGTACCATTAACCATATTACTGTATTACAGTATTAGCCACTATTAGGCTATTAGCCAGTATTAGGCGGCTTAGGCCATTAGCCTTCTGAGCCCTTAGGCTAGTCTAGGACTATTACCATTTACCAAAGTACATTCTGTACACACTACACAGTACATAGAGTATTAGTACTCACTAAACACGGAAAACACCAAACTTTATAATATCGGGAAAGGGAATAACCTGCATCTTTTCTAACAAAACTAGCCTAGGCTAATACCACTCATAGTCATACACTACAGCTAGTATGGAATATATCTACTTGGCGAGCCGCGACTGAATTTTTCGAGCCGTGGTTTTATGGATTTGCCAGCCGTGATTCCATTTCTACGAAGGAGAGGTAGCAGTGTGGCGCAGGGCGTTCTTTATCGAAAGTGGGGAAGGGGCTAGGCTGCATGGAATAGAAATATTTTGGGGTTTAGCGTGTGGGTTACGACCATTGTTTTGGCGGCTTGCAGGTCATTGGCTCGCTGGTTTACATCCATGAAGGAATTTAGTCCCTGTGGCTTTCAGTAAGTAATCATGTTGGCTAATTTGCTCTGCAGCATGCTTGCGCACGGGGTGAAGTATGAAAATTTTGCTGGTATTGGGCAATGCTGGGTTATTTCAGTCGTCCCATCTTCAACAAACGTTTTGTTTATTTGTTTACATTACGATGTTTATGTTTTTTCTGCAAGATATTTTTGGCGGAAACGGTAAAGCAATGCGGATTGCGGAAGTTGACAAATGACAATTTTATGAAATGACATGTTTGCGAAGTGCAAACTGCGATTTTTTAATCAAACAAAAATTTATGACATTCGAGCCGCGAGATTTCATACCTACTGGAATTATATGATATTAGAGCCGCGATATTTCAGACAAAAAAAGGACTTTTCCAGACTAGCACTACAGGCATACGAAGAACCCTAGGAAAGAAGAAGTTAAGAAACTAGACAGTAGGCCTAGAAATGAAGTTTGCAACAAATCATAAAAATAAACACGTGCATCAACTAAATAATTATGATAGGCAATTGGTGAAGGGTAGTTATTTATTTCCTTTGTTTTTCGGTTTTGAGAGTAGAGACGATTTATAAAGCCGAGCGATCTCACGTGGCAACTTGACTTAACTGACCAATCGAATGAACCAAGTACCAAACGAGTACCGAGACTGAAATTAGAAGATTGTTCCCTACCAATAAAATGACAATCGGTGTGTGAAGTAAGTTTTCAGCGCACCCATTAAAATAAGCCATTATTCCGGCAGCGGCAATTAAGGAGTCCGAAATCCACATTTTAAACATGTTTTTGACACGAAGAAACACATCCATAACAGGCATCAAATTCTTATAAATGTTAAATAAAGAGTTAGTCATAATTTAAATGCCCTGCTAACTAATGATGTCAATTTTGAAGCAGATAATCTATTATAATATTTTATGTGAAAAGTTGACTGGCCAGTTTTTCTTGTTGTTCACACCGGCAGTCCGGCACAAAGGCACTTGCCACTAATCCGTACGAACAGGAAACTATCAAGCTCAAAAATTTTCATGTTTAAAACGTCCAAAATCATATTTTTCAAATAAATATTTTAACTTCAGTAGGTGTTTGATTATTATCCTAATCCAATTAACTGTTGAGTAACATTTTCTACTAGTCAGTTGTTCCCATAATATAATAATATATAATATAATATGATAAAAATATAATATAATACAATATAATATAATATAATTTAATATAACATAATATAATATAATATAATTAATATGGAGCAGTAGAATGCAAAAGTGCGATATGAACTCGTGCGAATCCGTTTAGAATTGTTGGAATAACGAGCTGTTGAGTTGAGCAAACGTTGCGTTTTTGAGTCGCGATTTTGTGGCCGAGTTCGGAACAGTGTCGATTCGGTCCATTTTTGGCAAGTTGGTGATTCTTATACTTTTTTATTTGATCGTACCGGAACCTAAAAGCTACTGAATTTGCACCAGATCTAAAAGGTTCCCTGCACAGCTAGTCCAAATGTATATTGCTACACGACTTTATCTGGGCTTTATCGAGTCTTTTCGTGAACGCCATCGTACTCAACGCTTCGACACCGCTCGGACCTTTTTGGGCGTACGATTTTTTAAACAAATTTTCAGAGTAAAGCTTCATAAAACGTATTCCGCTCATAACTTTGTCACATTGAAACGGATCTCGACTTAATTAAAAACGAATGTTATTATTCAAAATAACATATAACTTAGAGAGATAAATGCGCTACATCAAATCTACTTCACTAACACGTAACGTACAGTAGCACTTGCATTACATCAAATCGACTTCACTAACATGTAACGTTAGTGAAGCACTTACATTTAATCAAATCGAAGGCACTAATATGTAACGTAGATCGAGTATATAGCACTTGCATTCCATCAAATTAAATATTTCATCGACTCGCCAAACGAAACTCCGAGTGTGCGAAGGCAGATTTTCATAATTTTTTACGTCCGGCTTGAATTCGAGACATAAATCGTAAAAGTTTTAGTCTTATTTTAATTTGTTATACATGTACATTCAATAAAAACCTAATTGCAAAAGAGCCGCCGCGCAATTTATAATCCCGGAATGCCTTTCCTCTTCATTATTACTGGTGCCTCTAATTCCATAAATAACAATAGAGCTTTTGTTCGCTAATTAGACATTGTCCGTTCAAACTCATATGTTAGATGGAAGATAAAAAAACTTATTTGATTCTCGTTACAGAATATATAAAATGAGGAGTTTGTGCCATCCAATTTGAATTATAACACAAAAAAACGATATATCATAAAATCATTATAATTACAAAAATCGCATTTCAGTCTTTGGCCTTATCCTTTTATCCCCCGCAGTTGTGCTTGCGGACAGTCCTAATATATTTATGGCAATTTTGTTGAAAGACAAACACTAACTTTGACGAATATAAATAAGATTAGATTTACATTATACGCATATAATCACTATAAGTGGATTCAACACAAGTACACTTCACTGACAGCATCGACAAAGCCAGAAATTATGTCAATCCGAAAAAGCTCCAGATTTTCTGCAAATTTTCCTTTTTAAATGTTGGTATTTTAACAATAAATTCACTCATAGTTAAGCAAAGCTGACAATTTAATCAAATAATTAGGTTATTAAAATTTTAATCTCTTCCTCAACGGTATGATCGTGAACGAGTATATATTCCTGATAGATGTTTTCTTTAGATGGACTATATAAAGCTATATATATATATAGCTTTCACTCATATGAACCACATGCGAAGTTTCCAATATGCGGCGAGTAAGAAGCTTCATGTAAAAGTCCCTGTGAATCCGTCCGCTTTAGTCGGGGCTGGCCGCGGACGAGATGACTCCCAGTCCGGCTTTGACTGCTCCTCCCTCTGGACTAAACCCAGTCAAATCCTTTGCGCCTAAAAGTTCCCTTAAAAATGCAAATGCTAAGCCTATTGCTAAAATTTTGACCGCTTCTCAGGCTTGCTTTGTGCGTCGAAGCGGCGGGCGTTTTTTGTTATTGTAATCTCGCCAGAAGCCTCCAGGGAGCCGGACGCGCACAGTGCAACTGACGGCGGCAAGTCTTGAGCATCAATTATTTATTTATTTATTTATAATTTTATCTCAAAGAAACATGTAAACTGAAGTAAAGGATGAATATTTTATTTAAAAATTTATTTAAAGAAACATGTAAACTGAAGTAAAGGATGATTCTTTTATTTAAAAAATTATTTAAGAAACATGCAAACTGAAGTAAAGGATGAATATTTTATTTAAAAATTTATTTAAAGAAACATGTAAACTGAAGTAAAGGATGATTCTTTTATTTAAAAATTTTTTTTAAAGAAACATGCAAACTGAAGTAAATTATGAATGTTGTATTTAAAAAAATTATTCAAAGAAACCTGCAAACTGATGTGAAGGATGAATCTTTTATTTACACTTAGGTCCAAATTTTACGTGTTGCAGTTGTCATAAATCATGAACTGAAGAAATATCGATCAAATAAAATAAATTGACAAGTGTGTTGGGTGAGATCTTGTCCTCTCGTTACTATGAATAGTGTCAAAATTCATCCAAGGCAATAATTTTAAAAGACAATATAATACGCATCACTTAATTGGGGTGATCCTTATGTTTACTATAGGGGCTAAAAAATTATAATTTTATAAAAGCGAATAAAACGTTTGCACTAATCTCTGGACCACTGAATCTGCCAGATGCAGACTGATAACTTAATCAAGTAATATCATAAGCCCTAACAAAAAAGGTGCATGATATTTTTTTACTCAGAAGCATCAATTGTTTTGAAAAAGTATCGTCCACAGGCGAAAATTGACTTGGATATTATAGGAATATTTCACGAGTATTGTGAAACAATACTCGAGTATTATACGAGTATTGTATAACAATTCTAGAAGGATTGATTTGGTCTCGCAGACCGAGATAACAGATAAATTTATTCTGTCCAGCGGCCAGATCGCAGAAGAAAAAACTGGATGTATTTTTGTTTGCACGGTCTTTGTGTGGCTTAATGGAAGATCTCGAATGGATGCTTCTTTGTGAATTCTTAAGCGCTTGTCGTTCGCTGCAGTGGAAATTCTGTTAACGATTTGTGGAAGCAAAAGTGGTTTGCAGGAAAATTCCAAGATTAACTCTTAGAAACTCGCGCTTGGAAAATATTTGAATAAATAAAAGGTCCTCAAAGGCAACTTGTAGATGTTTTGTTCATGTTAGGAATAAAGAACGATAGGT